GGAAAGTCTGAAATAAGGGTCACTATGAGACTGAAATGACTTAAAGGCACATAACAACAACAATACATGCTTTGAGCAAGCAAGGTTGTGTCACCTGCATATCACAGGTTGTTAATGAGTTGTCACCAATCCTGATGCCACATCCTTCATATGACTCAGCTTCTTGGATTATTTACTCAGCATAAAAATTGAATATCTATGAGTCGGTTCCTACTCGATAGCACCTGACAACAAAAACAACAATGGCGAAAGAAGAGAAAACTCTGGTGCAGACCTTTCCTGATTTTAAACCATTCAGTGTCCCCTTTGTTCTCGTCAAACAACTGCCTCTTGGTTGATGTACAGGTTCCTCGTGCACACAATTAAGTGTTCTGGAATATTCATTCTTTATAATGTTATATATACCTTGTCAAAATCAACACAGTTGAAAGTCTCTGCATAGTCAATGAAGTATTCTCTGTTTTTATATAAGACCCAGCTGATCCAGTGATACCCTCATTCCACATCCTCATCTGAATCCCGGTTGAAACTCTGGCAGCTCCTTATCAATGCACAGTTACCGCTCTTTTAAAATTATCTGTAGCAAAATTTTCTTTGCATGTTTTATTAATGATATTGTCTGATGATTTCCACATACTGTTAGGTCACCTTCCCTTGGAATAGGCACAAAATGGATCTCTTTTAATCAGTTGGCCAGGTAACTGTCTTCCAAATTTCTTGGCAGAGATGAATGAGTTCAGTTTGTTGAAAATTTTCAATTTGTATTCCATCAATTCCCTGAGCCTTGTTCTTTGCCAGTGCCTTCAGTGCATTTTGTACTTCTTTCTTCAATTCCACTGACTCTTGATCATATGCTATCTCTTGAAATGAATGAACATCAACCATTTCTTTTTGGTACAGTGCTGTGTACTCTTTCTATCTTCTTTTGATGCTTTCTGCATCATTCGATATTTTGTCTATAGAATCTTTCAGTATTAGAAGTTGAGTCTTGAATTTTGTCTTCAGTTCTTTCAGCTTGAGAAATTCTGAGCATGTTTTTCCCTTTTGGTTTTCTAATGCAATGTTTTTGCATATTTCATTGTAATATTTGAGTTTCTCTTCTCAAGCTACCCTCTGTGAGTATCTGTTCAGCTCTTTTACCTCCTCATTTCTTCCATTTGCTTTAGCATCTCTCTGTTGGAAAGCAAGTTTAAGAGTCTCTTCTGACATCCATTTTGGTGTTTTCCTTCTTTCTTGTCTTCTTAATGACCTTTTGTTTTCTTCCTGTATGATGTTCTTAATGTCATCCCACATTTCTTTTGGTCTTTAGTCATTAGTATCCAATGCATCAGGTCTGTTCCTGAGATGATCTCTAAATTCATTTGGGATACATTCAAGGCCATATTTTGTCTCTTCTAGACTTGTTTTAATTTTCTTCAGTTTCAGCCTGAATTTGCATATAAATGATTGATGGTCTGTGTCACAATCTGCCTCTGGCCTTGTTTTGGCTGATAATATGGAGCTTTCCCACCAGGTCTTCTCATAAATTTAGTCCATTTGATTGGATGTATGCCATTTGGTGAGGTTCATGTGTATAGTCATCTTTTATGTTGTTAAAAAAATAAAAAGATCTCCAGCACTGTTTCTATCATCAAGACCATATTTTCCAAATAATGGTCCTTCCACTTTGTTGCCAACCTTTGCATTGCTATCACTAGTAATCATCAATACATCTTGAGTTCATCTTTGATCAATTTCAGACTGAAGGATCTGGTAGAATTCTTCAATTTCATCATTGTTGGCTTTCGTAGTTGGTGAATAAACTTGCATAATGGTAGCATTAACTGTTCTTCCTTGTAAGAATATGTATAATATCCTATCACAGACAGGATGATACTTCCAGATAGATCTTAAAATGTTCTTTTTGACGATGAAAGCTACGTCATTCCTATTCACTTTGTCATTCCCGGCATGGTAGACCATATGATTGTCAGATTAAAAATGGCTAATAATTGTCCCATTCAGCTCATTCAGAAAGCATCAATAAAAGACTGAAGAAATACACAGTCACTGTATCAAAAAGAAATGGTTGATGTCCTACCATTTCAAGAGGTAGCATATGATCAAGAGTCAATGATACTGAAGGAAGAAGTCCAAGGTGCACTGAAGGCATTGGCAAAGAATAAGGCTTGAGAATTATGAAATACAAATTGAAATCTTTCAACAAACTGATGCAGCACTAGAGGCACTCACTCATCTATGCCAAAAAATTCAGGTAGAAAACATAGACAGCTAGCTGGCCAATAGATAGGAAGACATCCATATTTGTGCCCCTTCCAAAGAGAAGTGATCCAATAGAATGTGGAACTCATCAGACAATATCATTAATATTACATGCAAGTAAAATTTTGCTAAAGATAATTCAAAAACACCTGCAACAATATATTGACATAAAATTGCCAGAGGTTCATGCTGGACGCAGATGAGGATTTGAAACAAGGTATATCACTGCTGACATCAGATGGATATTGGCTGAAAGCAGAGAATACCAGAAAGATGTTTACCTTTGTTTTATTGATGATACAAAGGCTTTCAACTGTGTAGATCATGACAAGCTATGGACAACATTGCAGGGAATGAGTATTCTGAAATGCTTAATTGTGCTTGTGAGGAACCTGTACATAGACCAAAAGGCAGATGATTGAGCAGAACAAGGGGACACTGAATAGTTTTAAATCAGGAAAGGTGTGCACAAGGGTTATATTCTTTTACCATTCTTACTAAATCTTTATGCTGAGAAAATAATCTGAGGAACTAGATTACATGAAGAAGAATGTGAATTGGAAGGAGAATCTTTAACCACCTACGAAGATGATGCAACTTGCTCATTGAAAGTGAAGAAGACTTAAAATATTTATTGATGAAGATCAAAGACCACAGCCTTCATTATGGTTGCACCTCAATATAAATAAAACAAAAAATCTTCACCAGTGGACCAATAAATAACATCATGATAAATGGAGAAAAGATTAAAAGTTGTCAAATACTTCATTTTGTTTGGATCCACTATCAACATTCATGGTAACAGCATTCAAGAAACTAAACGTGTTGCATTAGGCAAATCTGTGGCACAAGACCTCTTTAAAGTGTTTAAGAGCAAAGATGTCAGTTAGAGGACTAAGGTGCACCAGACCCAAGCCATGGCATTTTATTTTTTAACTATTATTAATTTCTTCAATAGTGGAAAACCTCTTTGATAAATACGTGGAGGATCATTATTTAGTCCGAAAACTGATGCATTTTTCCAGTTTTCCATCATTTTGCAAACCAACCTAAAGGCCTTATTTCCCTTGTTTTCTGCTGTTCTCTGCAAAATTAGTATAAAGAACCAGATGTAATCATACAGAGTAATGTTGAAAAGTAGGATTATCAAAAAGAGTTTTAAAAGACATTGTTATTTTTGTACTTTTTGTTCAAATTATTTCTAGCAGTTTCTAAAGGCATAATAGTCACAGCTGCCATAAACATATCATCTTCACTCACAGTATCACTTAGATCAGTCCCTAGAGCTCCTTTCACAGTGATGTGATGCTAGTCCCGGTGGAAGACAGACTCCATGTTTGTCTAGAGCCAACCAAGCCATGGTATTTTCAGTACCTTCATATGTACATGAAACTTGAACAATGAATTAGGAAGACCATAAAAGAATTGATACATTTGAGTTATGGTGTTGAAAAAGAATATTAAAAGGACCACGGACTGCTAGAAGAACAAACAAATCTGTGTTGGGAGAAGTACAAACAGAATGCTTCTTACAAGCCAGAATGGTGAGACTTCATGTCTCATACTTCCGATACATTATCAGGAGAGACCAATCCCTGAAGAAGGACATCATGCTTGGTAAAATGGAGAGTCAGGGAAAAGAGGAAGACTCCCAACAAGATGGACTGGCATAGTCACAGCAGCAATGGACTCAAGTTTAATATTTGTGAGGATCACACAACACTGGGCCACGGTTCATTCTGTTGTGCATTAAAGTCAGATCTTTAATTGTCCCAGTTCATTTTGACAAATTATAACTTTCCTAGATTCATACTTCATACATTCCACGTTACAATTATTAATGGGTGTTTACAGCTGTTTCTCCTCATTTTTAATTGTGCCGCATCAACAAATGAAGGCCCTGAAAGCTTTATTCCATTCACATCATCACAGTCAACTCTACTTTGAGGAGACAGCTCTTACCCAGTCGTATTTTGCATTCTTCCCACCCTGAGGGGCTCATCTTCTGGCACTATATCTGAATATATTCTGGTGCTCTTCATCATGTTTCAATATTCAATATTTTGGTGCCATCTAACAGTGTTCACTGTTACAAGGTTTTCATTGGCTAGTGAGGAGTAGTCTGCCTCTTTTTCTTTCTAATCTGTGTTAGTCTGGAAGCTCAGTTGAACCTGTCCACCATGGGTAATCCTGCTGGTATTTAAAATATCGGTGTCCTAGCTTCCAGTATCATAGCAACATGCAAGTCACCACAGTGAGACAGACTGACTGATGTGATGATTAGAGCCAAGGAGACCCTATGGGGCTGCAGTACTCTGTAACACCGTGAGGTTACCATGAGTCAGAACTGATCAGATGGCAATGTTGGCTTTTGTTTTTCATGTTTTAACAAATTATTTTGTAGATTGTTTCTTCCATATCCAGTAACATCCAGCCCCAACCCACACACATTTTCTCATGGTTGTAGAGCAGCATTGTAATGCTCCATCATGGAGTGGCCCTTCATGGAGTGGATTTAGATGAAAAAGAGAAGTTTGCCCTTCACTGAAGGACTGTCAAGCTCAGGGAGGATTCCAGTGGGGTCCCCAATTTCATTCTGCCCAGGAAAGAACACAGACTCCCAACAGCCACTATTCTGGGGACTATCATTTGATTGGCTGCTGGCTAGATGAGAGTTCAGAAAAATTTGTCATTCATTGTTCATTGATATCTTATGAGAAACAACTACCTTGACTTACCCGGAAATAGTCACTGCATGCTGCTAGGACTGCCTTGTGAGCATGGAATTTCTGTTCCTCCGCAATCAGGGTGACATCGCAGAGAATGCCATCACTTCTCTGCTGATTCAGCGCTGCCAGAACACTGTCATTGTGAGATTCAGAGTGGCAGAGCCTCTGGCCTGTCAGCATTTCTTGAATACTGCAAAGGAGAGCAGTCAAGTCAACATTCTTTCACCAGCTCTGAGTTTCCCTATGCTCTCTCATTGCTTCCACACTGATTTAGGGATTGCTGATTCCATTGTACTATCTCCACAGTGGACTGGGATCTTCCTATTCTCAGTTTTGTACCAGCTTCCAGCTTTCCTTTGCTCTATTCCTGCATCATGTTGGGTCTTGGTCTGTGTCTGTCTATGGTTCTATCTCTCCTACCTGTGCATCTCTTTCTGAATTTGTGGTTGTGTGATTGATATCTGTGTCTACATATTGGTTCATGTCTGTAGTCCATGACTCCTTAGTATGTATATATCTCCAGTACAAAGCCTTCTCTGGGTGGGTGTCTACATGTATATACACTGTGTGCAAGCATGTTTTGGTGTCCTCTCTGTGACGCCCTTTCTAGGTCTCTGGCTCCTTATATAGCTGTGTATGACGTGCATGGGATTAAAGTAGGCTCAGAATGTGATCATGGCCATGTACTTATCCATCACAGAATTTACTAGATCTGGATGACTCACCAGAGATACAGGAAGTCACCATGCCTTCCCATGTTGTTCAAGTGCTGTCGAGTCAGTTCTGACTCATAGTCACCTTAAGGTTTCTGAGGGGTGGCTGGTGGGTTTAAACCACCAACTTTGAGGCTAGCAGTCCACTGCTTACCCTACCATGCTATATCAGAACTCCATGTCTCCCCAGAGGACTCATATTCTATTCATAAACAAAAGAAAATCGAGCAAAAGTTGCTTAGGAAAAAAAGGATGTTGGCGACCATTCCATGTAAAAGGTAACTAAACCACAGCAGCTTATTATTAAACCTGGCAGATCGTGCAATACAAAGCACATCATAGGACATGATGCTGTAATGGAAATCAAATTTAAGCTAAAAGTAAAACGCTGCTGTTGTTGTTGTTGTTGTTAAGTGCTGTCGAGTCAGTTCTGACTCAATGTGACGCTGTATAGGTTTTCTGAGGAGCAGCTGGTGAGTTCGAACTGCCGACCTTGTGGTTCAAACCAACCTTATGGTTGGTTGCTTATCGTATACCACTTCAATGTCTGTGCATGATCACTATAGTAAATTTATGAATGACTTTTGTATTAATAATACAAGTTTATTTTTTGTGATGTTACTAAATTTACTCACAGTGAAACTTTTCCCCTTGCTGTCTACCTCATTTTAAACCACTTATTCTTATGTTCTTTTAAAATCCCTAGGTAAAACTCCCTATATTCCTAAAATAATGTAGATTTGAATGCCATACCGACAAAATGCAAACTGAACTTACACACAGCTATGGACAATCTCAGCTTAGATCAATGAAAACCTCTAGCATGTTTTAAGGTGTTGGAACTGGCAGTTGACTAAAGTGGAAATAAACTGTCCCAGTAGTATCTTGTTTTTAAGTGCTGTCGAATCTTTCCCAACTCATACTGACCCTGTATAGGGTTTTCCAGGAGCGGCTGGTGAGTTTGAACCATTGACCTTGTGGTTCAAACTGACCTTGCGGTCCAGCGCTTTATCCAACGGCACCAAACCAGAACTTTACACAGTAGTATTGTTGTTGTTGTTGTGAAGTGCCGCTGAGTCAGTTCTGAACCATAGCAACCCTGTATAGGGTTTCCAAGGAGACACTGGTGAGCTTGAACCACCGACCTTGCAGTTCAAATGGCTTTGGTGCATTAATCCACAGCACCGCACCAGGACTCACAATAGTATGGTACTCACAAAATGAGAACCAGGACCATCAGGCCACAAGATACTAATTTTATTTTATTTTTTGTTTTATCTGGCCTCCAAAAGCTTCTCAAAGCTCAGTAACAATACTCTTAAGTATGAGTATCATCTCTACTGTCCTGCCAATTCCTGCATCAAACCCTTCTCTATGTGGATGTGAAAGAGCCAAGGAGTCACCACTAGCCCAGAGAGCATGGCTGATGTATTAGAGAGGCTCTGCTCAGCCTGTGATGCATCTGGCTGGCACCTTAGAGTCAAACACACATCACCACCTTAAAACTAACGAAACACTTCCCGTGAAGTGCCAGAAAGCAGTCAATAAGCTTTATTAGACATCGTTGGCTGAAGAGTATCAGAAATGTCAGCACTATGGAAGCAGAAAAACAACTTGTCAGGGGTTGATAATATACGTAGTTCTCATGAGGAAGTGGAAGGGTTATTTTCAGTTGAAACGTAGCATCTAGTATCATCATGTAGTGGCTCTATCTCTAGGCAGACTTCAAAAATTAATCATTAAAAATGCCTTTGAGAAGTATAAATAATTCTTTGCAAAATGTTTATGCAAAGCTTAGACTGGAAATTAATTAGCATCACTCAATTAAAGAAGTAAGGGAATAGAATAATAATAGAAATACTATGTCTGCTAAGAAAAGCTTTAGGATAATCTTTTAAAAATCATTCCCAAAAGGATGACAGTTTTATATAGTCACAAATATATGACACTTACTATGTACCATGAGTTAATTATTATTAGTAGTAATCTACAATTATTTATTCATTAAATATTCACAATAACCCAATAAAGCAGGCCTATTATTATGTGTTTTACAGATAAGAAAACTGAAGACATTTCACCAAGAACACAGCAGTATTATTCCACTTTTTACTTTTAAAAAATGCCAATTTGTGAAGGTCTCAAAAATCTATGCTGGAGAGGAAAAATTTTAAAGTATTTAGAATTTTTTACTTACATTTTACATAATTTCAAATCAAAGTTACTTTTAGAATTATATACATGAACATAACATGAGAAAGTGATTTAAAAAAAATCTTTGAAACCTTGCTTTTAAAACACTTATTTTCACATTGAGACTAAGATAAATTTAGGAATAAAATATCAATTTTAACTATTATAACCTTAGAAAATTTATTTGTAGCTTTTTATAACATCTTTTCTTCCTACAAACCTTATCTTAAATAGTAAGTAAACATACTTAGAAATTTCGTTTGTAGTGGGAAAGATGGATATATTGAAATAATTACCTTAAAAGGTTTCCTTACGCATTTTCCAAATTAAGAAGCACGAGTCATGTCATTATTAACATTGAATCAGTATTTGCATGTTAGACATCTATGGACAGTGAATAAATCTCGCCAGGATAAAAAGAGCAGCTGTAAACTGAAATTTGGCAAAGAATAAAGGGTTCAGCTCTGAAACAATTCTGATGCTGAACAATTTCACAGGATCATTCAGCTGGGCTTGAAACACTCAAGCTTAAAGAAAACAACATGCTAAATATTTAAGACAACACTTGGCACAAGATCCTAAATATTTTGAAACCAATATGTTAGGAATCCTTAGAAGCAGAAACAAATACTCTGACATTTGGCAAGAAATAAAGGTCTACTAATCAACAAGTCATTAATATATTTGAAAGTAACTTCCCACTCAACTCTCAGATATAAATCTATAAAAGACCTTAACCCTGCACACATTATAACACATGAGACCACAGAACACAGCTGGAAGGTGACAGGCCCACTCTGTGAAATCAATAATCATAAACCAAGGAAGATCTGAATGAAAGACTATAATGAAACCATTTCTAAATTAAGATAGGGAGCAAACATATGCTTGCCAACAACTCCCTTGACAGCTATAATTTATGCCAAATTAGCAAACTAAACCTCCATCTTAAGGCACTGCCTTGTCATTGTTTGGAAAACAAAAAAGACAGAAAGCAAATCAAACCCCTAAAACTGTCTCTACTGCTTTAAAACAAAACAAAACAAAAACCCATAAAGCAGGTGTCAGAATTCCTAAGCGAACCTAGAACTGAATGTCATTCTAATATCAGGAAGGGTGTTCAATATAAGCAATTAAAAAACACACAACAAAGTCAAATATTATAATGAAATGTGGAAAGATCTGGGGTTAGAAAACCAAAAGGGAAGAACATCCTCAGCATTTTTCAAGCTGAAGGAACTGAAGAAAAAAATTCAAACCTCAACTTGCAATACTGAACAATTTTATGGGCAAAATATTGAATGATGCTGAAACCATCAAAAGAAGATGGAAAGAATACACAGATTCACAGTACCAAAAGGAATGGCTGATGGTCAACCATTTCAAGAAGCAGCTTATGCTCAAGAGTGAATGATACTGAAGGAAGAAGTTCAAGATGCACAGAGGCATTGGCAAAGAACAAGGCTCCAGGAATTGATGGTATGTAAATTGAAATCTTTCAACAAACTGATGCAGCACTGGAGGCACTCACTTATCAGTGCCAAGAAATTTGGAAGACCGCTACCTGTTCAATAAATTGGAAGAGACCCATATTTGAGCCCATTCCAAAAGAGGTAACCCAATGGAATGTAGAAATCATTGGAAAATATCATCAATGTTGCAGGCAAGTAAAATTTTGCTAAAGATAATTTTTAAATAGCTGCAACAGCACATTGACAGAGAGCTGTCAGAGGTTCAGGCTGGATTCAGAAGAGGGTGTGGATCCAGGTATATCACTGCTGACATCAGATGGATCATGGCTAAAAGCAGAGAATACAAGAAAGATGTTTACCTGTGCTTTATTGACAATGCAAAGGCTTTTGATTGTGTGGATCGTGACAAGCTATGGACAACATTGCAGAGATGAGTAATACAAACATTTAAGTGTGCACAGGAGGAACCTGTGTAAACAGACCAAGAGGCAGATGTTAGAACAAAACAAGGGAATACTGAATGGTTTAAAAGTAAGAAAGGTGTGCACCAAGGTTGTATTCATTCGTCATACATATTAAATCTGTATGCTGAGTAAATAATTCAAAAGGCTGGACTACAAGAAGAACAACATGGCATCAAGATTGGAGGAAGATTCATTAACAACCTATGATAAGCAGATAATACAACCTTGCTTGTTGAAAACAAAGAGTACTTAAAATACTTCTGATGAAGGTCAAAGGCCACAGCCTTCCGTATTAGTTTCACCACAATGTAAAGAAAACAAAAATCCTCTCCAACGGACCAATAAGTA